CTGGGCTCCCTCAACAATGAGAGGGAACTCCCCCATCTATGCTGATCCACCTGACCCTTGGTTGGCATGCTGTACAAAGAAGTAAAAATGTGGAAGAACAGATTAAGAGTCATGAACAGTTAGTCTGAGAAGCTCTAGAGTTTCTTGAGAAGAGAATGGAGGGACTGGTAGATAAATAATAGTTGAAGAGATAGATTGTGAATATTCAAATTGAGCAGGACATGAGTGGTCAGATCAAAAGTGAATACCAAGCAAGATAAATGAAAATAAATACCACCTAGAAATATTGTGGTAAAGCTGCTAAACATAAAGCATAAAATATTTTTTCCAAACTTACAAGCTCATTCTTTAAAAACTGGAGAAAGAATACCTATAAAACAATGACAATTAGATTTAAGCTCCTTAGCAACTGAAGAAGAGAGTGGGGCCATAACTTCTAAATGAAAAAACCACACACATGCACACACACACAAAATAAAGCAAAATACATCTTCAATTCAATGGGCTAATGCAATTTCAAAAATTATAAAAGTGAAAATCATTTAGAAACTTTAGAAAATATGGATGAAACAGTGTTGAGTAAAACATACTCAGAAACTTGCATATATATTATGATCATAACTATGTATAACTAGGTTTACTCTCTTGCCTGTTGTTTTATAGTAAGAACAGAAAAGTGATTTTTAAATGGAGAAAGGTGACCGGGTGATGGGTATTAAGGAGGGCACGTGTTGGGATGAGCACTGGGTGTTATACACAACTAATGATTTGTTGAAAACTACAACAAAAACTTATGATGTACTATATGTTGGCTAACTGAACATAAGGAAAAATAAAAAAAATAATAAATAAATAAATGGAGAAATGAGTTGAATACTTTTTAATAGAGACATCTATAAGAAGAAATGAAGGAAAGTGAAAATGAAACCAAGAGTGGGTAAATAATACTCTTAGAGGGTATTAAAATTGTTTTCATAGTTTTGAGGTCCTGGAACTTGGCCCTGTGGCCTGGCAATATAAGAGGGGTCACCTCTGTGGAATAGATACACTCTAGAGGTAAAAATCTTGCCTATATAGTAAAGGCTACAAGTGTTTGTTTTTGTTTCCATAAATCTCAACAGTCCTGGGGTAGGGGGGTGGCAAAATCCAGAGTTACATATTCTGGAAAGGATATTAAGATCTCTCACAAAGGGAAAAATGAACTACAGTCTGTCAAACTCTTGCTCCTTTTTGAAGTAGTCTACCATTGCAGCCTCTGTATTCCCTATTCAAATGGAGCAGGACGTGAGTCCTCAGATCAAAAGTGCGTTCGTTCTAAGTACCATTCTAAGTACCAATGTAAGTACCAAGATAAATGAAAATAAGCCCTCACCTAGAAAAAGTCTCTGTTCCCACTTTCATTCTTGCTTCTAAACAACCCTACACTTACCCTATTCAGTGACTGTCTTCCACTAAATGATCAGGACTGACAGTCCATACTCTTTGGAACTTATTAAGCACTCTACTAGAATGATTAATTACTTTGGGGGTAAGATACTCCCTACTGGGTAGCATACATGTATTTCAAAAGACCCTGAAACAGTAGCTTACCACAAAGGAGTGACTCCGATAGGAGAACTATTAGGCTTCATGACAATTCCTTGGGAATTTTGGAATTAAGTCTGAATTATCTGTTCACCTCCAGGGGGTGATTTTAGTAACCACTATCAACAGTAGCAGGAAATAGGAGTAAAAGTAACCATATAAATATAATACCCATGCAGTCATCCACTAGGAACCTGCAAAAATCTGGGGGGAAACAGGGGACCTTTCCATAAGATGTGGAATGAGGGTTTGAGCTAATTTTATGTAAATTTTAAAGTGAAGAAAGATTTTCAGCGACACTCTGGGGACATTTATTGATCTAGAGGTCTTGGTCAAGAGAAATGGGAAGCACTATGGCCCAGAGAACCCCCAGACTGTAAGAGTCAAAATAGAAAGTCATCAAAGGTCAAACTAGAAAGGAATTTCCTTCGGACGTGTGGACTAGTGATTTTCCAAATTCCACTCTGGCCCCAGTTTTAGAGAGTTACAGAGGTGCTGGGCTAGCAGCAAACAGAACTCGATGGTTAAAGGTGCCACTGCAAGTTGCACTTAGAGATTCCTTTACCTTTGTAAATACAAAGCACAAATCGTAACCTAATTCAGCAAAGCCCTCCTGCCCTTTTCAGTCTTAAACTCTCATCCAGTTTTCACCTCAAGGGCAGGGGCAGCAACTATGATGTCTAATTTCCCTGACTGGGGGAGGACACAGAACCTATGGGAGAGAGGAAAAACAGAATTATTTTGCTGCACTGTTTTATCTCTGCCATCAAATAAATTATTCAGCCCTGCATTTTTGCTGAGGATTAACTGGGCCAATTGTGTCTCCTTTCTTCCCTTGGGTGCCTGCCAATGGCCAGGTCAGTGCTCACCAGCCCAGTACACAGAGAGATATGTCCTGAGAAGAAAGATACAATTCAAGTTGATTCTTTTCCTTCGTTAAAAAAGAATGGTATCTGTTTTGTTGTTTTTCTTGTTGTTGCTGTTTTTAATAGCATGGGAAGTATTGACAATGTGATATTCTAATCTGGTGTCACCATTTCCTACCTCAGGTTTGAAATTTATACTGCCAAATATATAATCGCTGATTCTTTTCCTGCCATAAAACTTAAGCAGTTACCGTTTGGGGAGGTTATTTTTAAGGTTTCAATATTGGTAATTCTTTTTTATGAGGCCGAGAAGTATCCAGGCAGGGTACTTCGAAACTTCAAAGGCAAGGCAAGGGCAAAAGTGACATCTGGACTCAGTTGTGATAGGGCTTCTCAGCTTTATTCTCACTTTCAGTGTGCAGAGTCAGAAAGTTTGGGGGAAAATGGTATCAGACTTTCCTAAAAATTTGTTTCTAGGCCATTTTTCTTCATTTTTTCCCAAGTCAAAAGAGCTAGGCTGGTCACTGCAGTGAGAAAGGTGGGGGCCCTAACATTAGGTATGGTAGCAGATGAGGTACTGGCTGCAGGGAAGGTGATGGACGTGCTCGTGAGGAGCTTGTGAACTTGGCTGAGGCATAAATGACATTATCTACCAAAGTTGTTTGGGTCTCCACAGAACAAATCCTACCACTTATGAATGGTTCATGAGCAAGAGTCGGAAGAAGCAGTATAATGTCAAGGTTAAGGGAACAGATGCTGAATCTCCACTGCGTGGGGTGAATCTAAGCTCTGCCACTCCTTAGCTATGCTGATCTTAGACATATTACTTAACCTCTCTGGGCTTTAGTTTCCACATCTATAAGCAAGGTATTGTGATGTTTAAATAAGTTATCCTTTATAAAACGCTTAGAACAGTACTTGGCACAAAGTAGGTACTATATTTAAGTATTTGTCAAGTAAATAGAATAGGAAGTAGAATGCGAAGGGCTTTCTGCTGGATAATGTTCTCCAGAGCCCTGTCCTACCCCCTTCCTCACACATACGGTTTGCCTCCCCAAGAGCTACAGTTAGCAGGTTATTGACCCTGGGGAGTAGAAGCTTCTGTTCTGACCTATATTAGTGAAGTGGTCAGTTAGCACATCTATAGACTTCACGCTCATGGACTCAACAAGCTCCAAGGGGCTAAGCAGAAAACAGAAATCACAAAAGGCCCATCCCAATCAGCATCAATAGGAAGGGGCATCTCTCCCTAGAGTCTTGACTCCTTGCCACACACAGCAGGCATGAGGACAGTGGCCGAGGGCCTGGTACGTAGCCATCTGGAGGAGGTGAACTCGTGGGCAGGCCAGTCAGTCAGTGGCAGCCTGCCTGCTGCCATGCCCAAGCTCACGCTCACCCCCCACCCCCACCCCACGTGCCCCATATCAAGACTGGGATGGCTTCTCTCTCAGTACTGAGGGTGGGGACGATGTGCAGCAGGAAGGGGCAGCGGGAGAGTTGAAACTAAAGGCGCCCAGTCACAGGATGTGTGGTAGGAACCTTGGCCAACCCCAGGTTATACATGAAGAAACTGAAACTCAGGGAGGAGCAGCAAACAGGGAACATCTGAGTTTTGTGAGGCTGACCTTTCTAAAACTTCTTTTTTGGGGGGGGGTGTGGAGTACTCTTTAAGGGACAGAATATGGAATTCAAATACAAAATGCCCGTGGCCACTACAGTGCCACCCAACAGGAGAATGTGATGGAGGGAAAAGTCACAGTGGAAAGACACATGGTCTCAACTATTGTGGCTAAAATAGCATACTTATGAAGATTTTGCCAAAGAATAAGACATGTGACCTCATTGCTAGGGCCCCTAATGGAGGCTTGGAGGGGACTTTGGGAAGGGCTTGTGTAAGTGAGAAACCCTGAAGCTCAGCTTCATTCACTTTATGGTGAGTCAGCCACTGCACCTAGCTGACGGTCACTGAAGTAGGGAGCAGGAGGGCTGGGGTTCTTGATCCTCCCAGTAAGCAGGGGCAACTGTGATCTATGGGCCTCAACTGGTAGGGAAGGCTGTGGAGGAGGAGAGGACAGTAGGGAATATGGAAACCAATGCTCCCCAATGGAAGGCTTTTAGAAGCCCATCAGCTGTTTTCTAAAAGCCTGAGAATGTCAGGAATGGGAACAGAGAAGACCAGAAGGAAGTATGTGTGGAGCAAAAGAGTTAAGCCTCAGGGGTGTCAGAGCAGGGGCCTTCCCCTAGCTCCCTGGGTGCTGCTGGACAGACCAGTCTACCCTACTTTGTGCATCCAGTACCATGGGAGTAAGATGGCAAAGGGGTGGTGCACCATCCCAGGCTAGACCTGCCATCAGCTGAGATATGAGTTCTCTATCATGATGCTTCTTTCTTCTCCAGGAAAGTCTTTTTTTTTTTTTTTGCATGTGGTATTATGCAAAACTGGATAAAAATAAATAAAACCCACCAAGTCTCGGGCTTAGGCTTGCAGTGGCCAGTTCATTGGGAGATACAGAAGGATTCTAGGACTTTATAAAGCCAAAAGGTTCTTACCAGAGAGCAGGAGGGCCATCACAAGGAGAGTGTTACTCAGTCCCATAGTGCTAGAGTTGAAAAAAGAAAAGGTAAAACTTGATTAGAAAATGACTAAAAACCAAAACATGACAAGTGAAGCTTGGGATTCACTTAGGCCCATGCGTGTAGCAGAGACCATGCTATGTGTTTACCAAGGCCATTTCCTTCTCCTTCTAGCTCCACAGATCCGCCCTACATCCCAGCCTCCCCTGCAGTTAGGTGGGCCATGTGATTGGGTTCTGGCCAATGGAACTGTGGGCAAAAAAGACTTGTGTTACTTCCAGACCTGCCACTAAAGCCTCTCTCTCTTTCCTCCCTCTACTGCCTTCTTGGATGCAGAGAATTCAGAGGAGTCCAAGCCCCTAGAGGATGGCAAAGCCTCACTATGAAAGGAAGCTGGATTGGTGAACAAATTAATAAAGCAGCTCTTTCTACCCTACAGTGATCCATACTGGACTGTGACATGAGCAAACTTTTATTGTGTCAAGCTAATGAAATTTGGGGGATTGTTTATTGGAAGAGCGAGCTTACTTATCTTGACCACGACAATGGGTATGATGGGACAAATGGAGAGTATTTATGTTTAGAAATCAACTTGCCTTTGGTTTCCCTGTGATTCTCAAACTTTACTGTGCATAAAAATAATTTGGAAGATCATGTTAAAGCCATTATCTGGGCCTTGTCCACAGAGATTCTGATTTAGTAGACTCAGTGAAACCCATGTCAACAAACTCACAGGTGATGCTGTGCTGCTGGTTTAAGGACCCCACTTGGAGAACATGATGAGCCAAGGAAAACAGCAGGCACTGCTTTATAACTTCCATCCTCTCTTTCTTCCTTTCCATCTCTCCCTCCCTCCCTCCCTCCCTCCCTCCCTCTTCACTCACCCACTTACTCCAACTTAGACCAAAAAGCCTAGAGAGTGCTTACAGGGAAGCACAGAATAAGGGAGAATGACCAAAAATAGAAACAGCTAAAAAGCAAACTAAATGCAAGAATATGAAGTGGAGCCTGGTATAAGTTCAATGCTAAATGTTTACCATTTAGAAATCTGCCCACCCTGCGTGGTTCAGGTCACAAGTTTGGCCTATATCTTTTTAACAGCCAAAGTGAAAATGAAAACCTAATCAGTGAATTAACTTATAGATCTGTCCATTAGGATAAAACAAACCAATGCTCAGGAGAAGATGCACAACAATTTGTGATCCAAGAGCAGAAATTTCTTCCTCGGGGGTGATTTGTCCAGAAGTCATTCCTGATCCCTTTGGGCTCTGCTAGATACCTTTTCTCTCTACTCCCATAGCACTTGGCACAGGGTTTTGGGCTAAAAGTGTCTGTTAGGTTTCTTCCCTTCTAGACTATAACCTCTTTTTTTAGTTAAAAATTTTTGAATAGATCATACCTGCACATGGTACTAAATTTAAAAGGTACAGGTGATAAATCGTGGAAAGCAAGTCTTTCTTCCAGCCCTGTGTTCTAGCTATCAAGTTTTCCCCCACAGACATGACTGGGGAAACCACTGTTACCTGTTAACAGCTTCCTGCCTCTACCTGCAGTTATTTTAGGCAAAACAAAATGAAAAACATAGACCCATATTCTTTTTTCATTTTATTTTTAAACACAAATGGTAGCAATTTATACACAATTTTGCACACATGCCACTACCTTAGAGATTGTTCTGTATCCACATGGACTGAGTATCTTCATTCTAACAGTTGCATATTCTGTTGTATTCTATTGAATGACAATAATTTATTTTACCAGCCTCTATCAATGGACATTTAGCTGTTTCCAATATTCTGCTGCGATGAAAAACCTTGATCACATGTCAAAACACTTATGTGGGAATAAGCTATCTTCCTAGAAGTAGAAATGGCTTGACCAAAGGGTCAAAGGGTAATTGCAGTTTTTCATTGTGGTAAAATACACATAACATAAAATTTACCATCTTACTCATTTTTTAAGTGTACAGTGGTATTAAGTACATTGTTGTGCAACCGTCACCACTATCCATGTCTAGAACTCTTCATCTTGCAAAACTGAAACTCCCTACTTACTAAACACTTAACTCCCTGTTCTCTCCTCCACCCAGGCCCTGGAAAGCACCATTCCACCTTCTGTCTCCATGAATTTAAGTACTTAGCTACCTCTTATAAATGGAATGGATTTGTCTTTTGGTGATTGGCTTATTTCATTTAGCATAATTTATTTGAGGTTCATCCATGTTGTAGCATGTGTCAGAATTTCCTTCATTTTTAAAGCTGAGTAACATCCCCACTGTATATATATACCACATTTTATTTATCCATTCATCTGTTGATGGATATTTGAGTTGCTTCCACCTTTTGGCTGTTGTGACAATGCTGCTGTGAACATGGATGTACAAACAGCTCTTTGAGGCCCTGCTTTCATCTCTTTTGGGTGTATAATCAGAAGTGGAATTGCTGGATCATATGGTAATTCTATTTTTAATTTTTGAGGAACTGACATACTGTCTTCCACAGCAGCTGCATAATTTTTAATCCCATTAACAGTGCACAATTGCCCTGTTGCAATTTCTCCACATCTTTGTCAACACCTGTTATTTTTTTTCCTTATGGTATCCATCCTAATGGATGCGAGGTGGTGCTCACTGTAATTTTAAAATGAATTTCTCTTATTATGAGATTGAACATCTTTTCAAATGTATGAGATAACCTTTCTTTTTCTTTTTCTTTTTTAGAGAGAGGAAGAGACAGATGGGGGGAGTGGCAGAGGGAGAGGGAGAGAGAGAATCCCAAGCAGGCTCCACGCATAGGGTGGAGCCAGACTCAAGCTTGATCTCACAACCCTGAGATCATGACCTGAGATGAAATCAAAAGCTGGACGCTCAACTGACTGAGTCACCTGCGCCCCAAGAGATAACATTTCTTGTTCCATGTACTGTCCATACATTTCTTCTACGTACTTTTAATTTGAGTCCTTGGACTTTTTACAAATTTTTCTTAATTCGTAGGAGCTCTTTAATCTTTAAAAAATTAGTGTTAATTAGTAACTACTTAGACAGGTAGTGCTTTGTGACAATGAGTTACACATATATTCAGTTGCTGAAGCACATAGTACGTGTTCAGTATATGAACCTCACACTTGCTCCTGATTACTCTCTTCCTCCCTTCCAATGATTTCAATAGGTTACAGAGCTTGGGCATTAACTCTTGGGCCAAAGCTGACAGCACTCAGTGGCAGAGCCTGGAAAGAGGGTGATCTATTTGATTCCTGTGCACTTCCTCATACTAAATCACCACCAGCATCCTGTTTGTCATAGAATCTGAGGACTGAGAATCCTTTGAGTCTGAACTTCCATCTAATATAGGAATCTCCCATTGTTTGCAAACCCCCAAAATCAGCATGCTTACCTAACCAAAGATTTGTTATTCCTTGGGGTGATGTATTGAACAGGGACACAAAATCAAATTATATTTCACTATAAATTTAACAAATCACCTTTAATTCAAATTATTACCTGAATCAGTATGGCCCATGATATCTTGGACAAATGATCCCTATAATTCATGCACTTGGGAGAAGCACTGGGTATGACAAGGAAATCAATACCATCTTAACTTCTCTATTTGGAAATTCTCTCTTCCCCTGAGCAAGAAACTGCCTCTCTGTAACTTCCTCTCCTTAATACTGGTGTCATTCTCTGGAGCTTCTGGCAAAGCCCTTTAAGAATTTGGGGACAGAGATCACATTCCTCCTCAAAATCCTGGCCCAGCAAGGAGCTTTCTAGTAAACTTTACTAATATTAATTTGAAGATTGGACACTATCCTGGGCAACACTTTGGACACTTCATTTGTCAGAGACCCTAATAAAATATGGTGCTAAAATACTTGAGATTGACATGATCCTCTATACCCCATGTGAAGAATTTCTCTCAACTCTAGCCATGGCGTATGTGTGAAGATGGGGGCTTGGGTTAGGAAACTAGTTTCTTCAATGTTGTTGGCTCTGAAGAAGAGCAGAAATGTCACTGTTCCCTCAGGAATGAACTCTCAACCACAACCACGAGTCATTGCTTTTTCTCCAGAGGGCCTGAGTAGAAACTCTGGCTTTTGAAGGGAGGGAGCAAAAAGGGGAATGGGAGAGGAAAGAACCTAAGAATTTACGGGGGGATTCTCTGAGAAGAGATTTCTGTCAGCTGTGTTCAGAATAAGGTCTGTATGTGGGTGAACTGGCCAAAAACCTAAAGCAAGTAGCCTCCATGTACCTGAAGGTTCACTACAGAAACCAAAGAGCACCCACCGTACAGCACTTTTCCTTACTATATACGCCTGGCCCATCACAGACTGTGAGTGAGAGGCAGCTGAATGACTCGTTACACTCTTAATCTCTCACGACAAAGTGGGATTACTTACCCCCCACATTACAGATGAAGAAATGGAGCCTCAGAGAGGTTAAGGGACTTGCCCTAGCCACCCAGTAGTAAATGATAGAGTTGAGGTTTAAACCCACACAGCTTCATTGTTCTTTTTAACACTGGGACAGTTCCTTTAAAAGTTCTGGCCAGTTCCAGTTCCAGGCAGTGGGAGCAAGGAGAAAGGATTCTGATTCTACCTACTCTACTCTTAAGGTAGCCAGGGAGCAGCACGTCCCAAAGGCCAGGTGTGAGGGTGGCTCCTGGGATCAGAGGGCACATTCATGGGAAAGAGGCTGCGTTGGGGGCAGGAGGAGTCAAAGCGTCCCTCCCTATCAGGAGAGTTTCTGTCCTAAGCTTCCATTCATTCCACAAACATTACTTGAGCACCCTTTATGTGCCAGGCAGAGAATGCTCCTCTCCACTCCAGCCCTGGACAGGTTATCAGTTTTCTAGCATGGACCTAGCTCCAGGCACACATTAGTGGATTTCAACAAGTCTCACCTAGAAGAACTCTGGGGGGGGCGGGCGGAAATACGCGGATTCGGGCAGGAAGAGAAGGGGATAAAGAAGGGATCTTTTGTGTCTCAGATCTGAAGGAACCTGTGGGATCTAGTTCAGGCACC